TGATATATGCTAAAACAATATAATAAGGAGTGTTCAACATTATTTTACAGGGTCTCCTGAGACTTCTGTTTTAAAATTAACGTGTTATTTACCATCTGGTAATGGCTCATGCCAGCAATCCTAGATATTTGGGAGGTTAGGAATGGAAGAATTTAGATTTGAGGCCAGATTGGGCAGAAAAGGTGGCAACACCCCTTCTCAACTCACAACTGGGCACAGTGGTGTGCACTAGTCATCCAAAGCCACACAGGAGGCTGAGATTGGGAGGACTGCAGTTACAATACCAGGCTGGGCAGAAAAGTCTATGAACCTCCATCTTTACAGAGGGAAGTTGGATGTTGTGATGCACACCTGTGATTTTAGCAATGACAAGAAATCTACCAGTAGATAGATGGTGGTTCAGGTGAGTCTGGCTGGAAAGTAAGAGCCTATCCTAACGATAAGCAATAAAATACAGGGTTGGAGGTATGGCTTGACAGTGTCAGTCTAGTCTAACAAGTTAGAGGCCCTGAGTGCAGTCTATCAATACTGCATTCAACAAAACAAAACAGAACGAAGAAAAGCTTACCCCTTTACCGTGTTTTTAAAGTTTTTTTCGATACATCATTAACACACATTTGTTTACTCCTAAAACCTTTCTAGATATACTTTAAAAACTACTGTTTCATCTTTCCTATCATTAATTCTTTTTCAAGTCTCTATGCATTGTGAGCTTTATAGATGTCTTGTGCAGCATAAATGTCTACAGAAATGCCTAGATGTCTGTGCTGCATAGTGCTCTTTAGTTAAGAATAGAGCTGGCGTTTGAACCAGCAACTTAAATTTCAAAAGACTTCAGTTTCCATCGTTAGGTGTCTTTCTGTTTGTAATGGAAAACACAAGGAAGAAGTGTACCAGTAGAGACATGGATTTTCTAGACAAAAGAGAATCACACTGTGCAACAAGCACAGGGACTATAATTTTCAAGTTTCTATATGCAAGAACTGATGATAGTTTGAGAGTAACTGGTTTTAAGTTCATCCCTCATGTATTTACTGAACTGGGTATAGTACACCACCATCCCATTTCCTTCAGGGAATAAAAACCACACTGTAGTCATAGATTCTACATGTGAAGAGCTTAGTAACAAAACACTGGCCTAGATTTAACGTACTACATCCTTCTCTCTTTAAAAGCTCAACAAAAGCTAAGAGATGAAAATCACTGTACACTTATTTCTTCTGCTTAGTTGATTTCTGATGGCTACCTTGGATCCACCAAACTGCTTTACCTTCTCTGGCAGGTACAAAATTATAAACTCCCTAGAGAAGTAACTATATCATCCATGGGCTATATCCATAGTATGTAGTCAGATGCTTGGCTCAGTGAATATTCATGATGGTAGTGGGCATTATTCATCATAGCATAATGATAATGATAATGATAACTGTTGGCAGAAAACTAATAATAAGAACAAGTAACAGTAAAATAACAACCGCAACCATCATTCGAGTCATTGTCTAATAGCTATATTTATTATGTCATCTAAAATTTACAGTAAGATTCGTGTGTGTGTGTGTGTGTGTGTGTGTGTGTGTGTGTGTTGTGTCCCAGTCCTGGGAGCTTGAACTAAGGGCCTGGGCACTGTCCTTGAACTTTGTTTGCTCAAGGTTAGCACAATACCATATATACCATAGCTCTGTTCCAAGGGTTTCTATTTTTTTCTTTTGGTAATTAATTGAAGGTAAGAGTCTCATGGACTGTCCTGCCTGGGCTGGAATCAGTTCTCAGCTACCTGAGTAGTTAGCATTATAGGTACGAGCCACCAGCACCCAGTTTATAATACGTTTTAAGATAAATAGATGTTATACTAATCTCATTGATGGGAAAGCAGAAGCTCAGAGAAATTCAATGACTTCCCTCATAGTAGTTTACTAACTCATTCATTTATGCAATGGACATTTATTGAACAAATGTTCACCCTCTTTTGTAGAAGATCCTTGCTTTCATGGAGTTGACAGGCTAGTGGTAGAAAACAGACTCTTGATAAATGAGATGATGTCAGAAAATGCTAACAATACAGAGGGAAAAGAAATCAGGACAAAGGATCAATAGTGATAGGGGTTACTTTTTCGGATGAGGCTGGTAGGTAAATGTTTGATGAGGAGGTGAACAGGAATGAGTTGTCAAAAACCTAGAAGGAGAAGATTTGAGGCAGGGGGAATCAGCAAGTGAGCCACAATCTCTAGATGTTCAGTAAGCTTACATTAAGGTTATCAGTGAGATTGGAAGTGCAAAAGAACCCAGAGATTGTATGAATTCACCATCTGTTCCGAGCTTGATTTAAAACAATCCAAAATATTATTCTCACATGCAATTTATAAAAAAGATTTCCATTTCCATTCTGGTTTTAGTACCAGGTCTTTGAAATACAGTGTGAATTTTATAATTCTAGAACATATCAGTTTGGACCAGCCACATTTCCAGTGTTCAAAAGTCACATTGGCTACTGTAATGGTAGGATAGGTGTCAGTCTAACCAGAAAGATCTCTCTTTATTCTTAACCTCCTAAAGTTCAGAGATATAGGCTATCAGGAATACCAGTTAATATCTTTGGGAGAGACCAGAGTCCTAGAGGCTTTTTAGTTCTGAGTTCTTCCCCTTCATAGGCAGGTGCTAGTCATCAGATAGTAGTGCAAAATTCAGGACATACATAGAGAGCCTAGACCTGACAGTTTGGAGAGGATCTCTGATAAGGGTATGACCAATCACAGGAATACTAATTTGTGTGAGAGATGACAGTGGGGTGAAAGAGCAGTCCAAGTGTGGTATATTAAATGTAGAGTACATGACTTCTATATGCTAGGATTGTTCTAGGTATCTTAGGGATCATTCGAAGGTTATTGGCCTGAGGGCCTAAGAGAGGGCAAGACTCAAGGAGGGCCAGACAGAGAGCTGAAGAATTCAACCATTCAGCTCATTCATATGAAGTGTGAGATGCCCCAGCATCTCATGGTTGACAGTCGAATATAGGTATCTCCAGCCCAATGAAGCAGAATAGAGGCAGAACTCTATTTCCAAATCATCAGCACACAGGTGATGTTTAAAGTGAAAAGCTGACCAACTTAAAAGGAAGGGTCAAGGGGATCCATAGTTCTACAGGGCTCTGTCTTGAGTTCTGTTGCTGTCTTCTTTCTTTTCAGACTCTGTAATTTTCCTGTACTTCACCTAGGCCTTTGAAATTAGTTACTTTATCCTAGTTTTACTGTGTCTTTTTTTTGTGACCTTCACTCATATGCTGTCTTTTGAAATAAGAATTTATAATTCTTTGGGACTTTTCACCTTACTATACTGTGGATTGTTCCTGAAGGAATTAGTGCTTTGTTAATCTTAGTTCTTTCTCTTCCATTGTCTAATTGTGGTTTCCATTAATAGTGTTTATTTCTTAAAAGATGTAGCTTTATCCTCAGTGATAGCTGTTGCTTTGACCACAGCTTGTCATGCATTGTTCTGTCTAGAATACTTTATTCTCAGTCTACGTTGGGTAATAGGACCACCTACACAAAGAGATGCACCTCTATTTTCTTTGTCTTCTGGCTGTTCTCACCTTACTGTTTTTCAACTAAATGACCAAATGTTCCTACAAAAGTCTTTTCCTACTCCAAACCATGAAGTTTACAGTGACACATCATTATCAGGTCCAATTAGCCTCAGAAAGACCCTAAATACCTTTCCACCATAATTTTAAACAATGAATATGGAAATAAAACTTAGTTTATAGGATCGCTGGGAGAATACAAGTACATTCTATGTCATGTCACATTTATTGTCTTTCCCATGAAAGATATCCGTGTGAAATAAAGGATGAGCCAGTTTTCTCCACCCCACCCTGCTTTGGCTGGATTCCAAGAGGTAAACATGGCTTTAAAAACCAAAGAATTATATAACTGACATTTCCTGAACACTTATTCTCTACCAGGAAATGGTCTAAGCACTTTATATGTCTTGTTACTTAACCTTTGTAAGAACAGAATATGGTAGAATCTATTCTATCCCTATTTTACAGATGAAGAAATAGAAGGGCACAGAGAGTTGAAATAACTTGTCTATTGTCAGGAATCAGAACTGAAAAGGGTGACCTGGCTTAACTTCTACCCTGCCTTAATATTGTTCATCTTTGAGAACAGGATGTCTAAAGGTGGGTAGCTTTCTTCAGGTAAGCTAGCCAAAAGTGATTAGATCCAAGATGGTGGCCAGTGTAACCATCAAAGAACTGCTGACTTAATTATAATCTAATCTGTAAGGGACATACCTATAATCATTGTGGCAGGAAGCATTAGACCATAAAAAGGGATATTGTCTGAATTGGGGGTGAGATGGAGAATCTCTGCCTATTCTAGGAAAAGTCATGAATATATTTTCCTTTCATCCCCTAGAAGTTGAGAAGTTGATTTGTGAATTCATTTTTCCACTTTCTGGCTATGGAATAAACTAGGGTCAACCTTGGTTTGGCTTTGGCTTTGACACAGAACTTAAAAATATCCTGCTTTAGGGGTGTTTTTCCTTTCAAGGGGAAAACGCAGCAAATTGTTGGAAATAAAACCTAGGAAGCTTGACCGGAGGCCACGCTGTTTATCCTTTACAATGCCCCTGTAATATTATGTGGAGATAAATTAGACAAGAGACTAAAGAAATAATATAAAGCAATAAAGAAGAGGCTAAAGAAATAATATATCCTGTACATATTATTAAGGAACTAAAATTAAAGTTTGTGTTTTTGCTGAAATTCTTATAAGTTAGAATTTCCCCTCAGATATCGTACTCCAAAATTCAAACTTAAAAATTGGTAACCTGGTTCTTTTTTTTGTTTGTTTTTTGAGATGTGGGTCTCAATATGTTGGCCAGATTGGCCTCAAACTTCCAGACTCAAGTGATCATTCTACCTCAGCTTCCCACAAGATTGATTCTTAGTGTAACACTAAGTATAAGCATGAACATTATTACATTCCAAATGGACTCACCTGAACTTAATGCATGTTCCACGTCCTGCATGATCAGGAAGGGAGTGGTAGTCTCGGATCCACACATCACTTTGCCTGACTCAGAATTTTGAGGTGTTTTCTCCTTGGTCCCTGGCTGGTCTGTGACATGGGAAGTGGGTATGTGACCAGAGCTGTGGTCCTCTGTTGGGAATTCAGGTGACATTGGAGCTGCTGTAGTCTGAATGCTCACAGAAGTGCTCAGGTTGGGGGTGATGGAGGCAGAAGGAACCACAGGCATGGAGGCCGATAGGTATGAGGGTGAAGAGGCAGGAGCTTGAGGGGAGGTGAGTGGTGGGGACTGAGACCCTACAGCTGGCACACTCTCAGGACTTCCTGAGCTGTGTTCTTCAGGTGTGGGTGTCAGATGAATAGCATTGCTAGTGGACAAGAGCCCAGGAATGGAGGGATTTGTGTGTGCACCTTCCCATGCTGCAGAGTGGCTGGTGATCACTTCTTTTTCAGGCTTGGTGGAAACGTCCTTGGAAAACATAGATGTTGGAGCTGTGGATGTAATTGGGACAACTGAGGCATTGTCAGTGCCTGAGGCTGGGAAACCAGTGGCAGCAGCCGAGTTCTGTGGAGAACCAGTCCAGGTGGTAGTGGGTGGAGTAATTTTTGCCGAAAGAGAAACAGGCAACAAGGTTGATGTCGTCATTGGCAAACTCTGTACCCTCAATCCTGTGAAAAAGTCAGGACAAAAGTGGTTAACTCATGAAAACCACATACCATAGTAGGAGAAAAACAAAGGAGGGGGTAACAATGCTTGACAAGAAATGTACTCATTACCTTACTCATATAACTGTAACCCCTCTGTACAGCATTTTTATAATAAAATAAGAGAAAAAAAGAAAACCACATATCAGGGAAATAGAGGCAGGGCGATACCCTGCAGCTGTTGTATGGTCTCAAATAGTTCTCCTTTTTTTTTATTGTGCAGTTAACACCCAATTTTGAAAGTCACTTAAACCACACTGGAAAGCAGTATGGAGGGTACTCAAAAGACTAAGAGCTTCCCTGTGACTCAGCAATTCCACTTCTGTACATTATCCAACAGAACACAAACAAGGCTACACTAAAGCTCCCAGTACAACCATGTTTATTGCAGCACTGTATACCATAGCCAAGATGTGGAATCAACCAAGATACCCCTCAGTGGATGAATGGATCAAGAAAATGTGGTATATATACATAATGGAACCCCATTCTTTCATCAGAAAGAATGATATTGCACCATCTGTAAGGAAGTAGAAAGATTTAGAAAACCTTAAGCAAAGTAAGCTAGACCCAAAGAAACATAAGTTGAATGTTTTCCCTCACTTGTAATAGTTAGAATGTGCCAATAACTACAAGTAAACCAAATGGATAATGAAAGACAAAAAATTATATTTGGATATGATAAATTAAACAGGACTGTAAACTTTCACACAGTGAGACCAAAGGAGGATATTCTTAGGAGAGGATCACAAGGGCTCAATAGTTATGTATATATGCTCATATAAAATGATGCTTAAAATGAACTCCAAGAAATGGAAATGGATTTTTATTTTTGTGTGTGTGTGTTTTTCCTGTTTTCCCCTTTTGCTGCTTTTTAAATTTCTATGCCTTTTGTCTTGTATGTAAGTTTATCTGTTTTGTGGAGGGCAAGAGGGAGCCCAGAAATGGTGGGACAAAAGGTGAAGAAATGCTGCAGTGATACTTACTAGACACTATGTTGAAAATGAGCTATACAACTTGGGGGGGGGGACGGGCATTGAGAGGGGAAAACTCGGAGAAAACAAGGAAACAGGTAACACTTCAAAATGAAATATACTCATTATTTGACTTATGTAACTGTAACCCTCTGTATATCACCTTTACAATAACAATAATTTTTTTAATTTTTCCAGTACCAAGTCCTTTATTTGTGATTTCTACTTTGCCTTTTCAGGCCCGAATTTTTTAAAATACATTTTTTATTGTAAAGATACTGTACAGAGGGGTTACAGTTACAGGAGTAAGGTAATTAGTACAAAAAGTTAGTTCCTCAAGGCATTGGTAGTTATGCCTGTAATCCTGGCTACTCAGGAGGCTGAGATCTGAGAATTATATTTTGAAGCTAGCCTGGGCAGAAAGTCGATGAGACTCTTATCTCCAATTAACTATTGGAAGTGGATCTGTGGCTCAAATAGTAGAGCACTAGCCTTAACCAAAAGAGCTCAGGGATAGTGCCCAGGTCCTGAGTTTGAGCTCCAGTCCAGGCACCAAAAAAAGGGGTACAAAGAGCTTTCATTGTGATACTGCCATTCACACACTGCAATGTGCCTCTATCAGGTTCACTTATCATTTGTCTCCTTTCTTCACTTCTTAAAAGTCATTTTAAAAATTGTTCTCACAAATGGCTCCCCTTGTTTTAGGTTCAGTAGGAACCAGCTTGAGACTCAGTAAGAGCAGTAAGTGGGTTAATGAAAAGAAGCACAGAGGTGGAATGAATCTTGTCCAGCTCGCAGCAGCATCCTTAGAGAGTGAGATTTTGGGAGGGAACTGACTAGAGTTTTTGTGGAAGGCTGCACTGATTCAAGGCTGCCTGCAGGAATGCTAAGTGTGTGGCGGGGAGGGGGTGAGGAGAAGGTGTGGTTGTTGATGTGCTGGCAGTGGTGATGGAGGTAGAGCCTGCAGAAGGACATCGCTGTGTCCCACTCAATTTCTAGGCCTATGCTCCTATCTTCCTCCATTTTCAGAACTGTATCCCTGACCTTACAGCAAAAGGAACTAATGGGTTGGATATGTTTCTTCCTACTGTACCTAGGGCAGAGGGAGGTAGGGGAAGACCTTTAGCAAAAGGTAGGAGGAGTCATTTGGAGGTTTGGAAATATTTTCTGAGATTGAAACTTGGTGTGTGTGTGTGTGTGTTTGTCCATAAGCTTTTGTGCTCAAGGCTACTACTCTACTACTTGAACCCCAGCTTTACTTCCAATGTTTTGGTGGTAATTGAAGATAAGAGTCTGATGGACCTTCCTGCCTCCTGAATAGTTAGGATTATAGACATGAGTCACTGGCACATAGCTCCAGCTGTTTTTTTTGTGTGTGTGATCCTATAATGTCACCAAACATTCTCCTTCATGTTTAAAAGTATAGATTTGGGGCTGGAAGATGGCTCAGTGGTAGAGTTCTTGCCTTGCATGCATGAGGCCCTAGGTTCAATTCCTCAGCACCACATAAGCAGAAAAAGCTGCAAGTGGCACTGTGGCTCAAGTGGTAGAGCACTAGCCTTGAGCTGAAGAGCTGAGGGGCAGTGCCCAGGCCCAGAGTTCAGAGCCCATGACTGACCAAAAAAACCCCATGACTGACCAAAAAAAATAGAGAGAGAGCTAATTTCCTCCTTCCTTCTTTCCATTTACTTAATTTCACTCACTCACTCACTCAATCATTATTTAATGAGTAGCTTTGTGTGCTAGCTCTCTGATAGACATGGAGTTCATGGTCTTTCATATTGATTGCCTCTCCAAACCCTTTCGCATACCCCTGAACAGCTTTTCTACCTGGTCATTTCAATTTCAATAGATGGAACCCCCATTTGCAAGGTTGCTGGGTTAAAAAGTGAGACGTTATACTTTATTCACCTCTGCCTTTGCATAGCAAATTTGCTAGTGAGACACAGGTCATTCCTTTGAAACTATATTCACAACCCACCATTTTCCCCTCACCTAGCATCTCATTATTGAGCTAGCAAAGGCAGTAATATTCCTCTCTGCTTCCCACCTTGCCTCCCTCCCTCCTGACCTCCCTATTTCTCCGACTCCCTCCCTCCCTATCTGTCTCTTGCTGATTGAATCCTAAGTGTTGTGTGTGTGTTATGCAAGCTCTCTACCACTGAACTACATTTCCAACCTGACTATAGCATCTTACTTTTCCTTCTGGCTTCCAGGTTTCCTTCATGTAACCCACATTTCACATACAGTCAGGAAGAACTTTTAACTGACAAAGGAGGTCATTTTTTTCTCTACTGATCAAAGGACTTCAAAGGTGTTCTGTTGTAGTTAGAACAATCTCCAGATCATTCTCCATGTCATTTCATGTTCTCCTTATTGCTTTGATCTATTCAGTCACCTCTTCCTCAGAGGAGCCTTCCTGGACAATCCTAATTAAAACCATTCCTACTCCAACCTCTTATCAATGCCTTTAAAAGATTATAAAAAGTTAAAGTAAAATATACAAAACTTACCATTTACTAGTATTACATGTTCAGTTCATTGGCATTAGTTTAATTCATACTGAACAATCACCACCACCCATATCTAGAATCTTTTCATCCTCCCAAACTCAAGTCTAATGCCTACTAAAAAAACAACTCCTTGCTGGGCACTAGTGGCTCACACCTATAATTCTAGCTACTCAGGAGGCTGAGATCTAAGAATTGTGGTTCAAAGCCAGCCTGGGCCGAAAAGTCTGTGAGACTTTGATCTCCAATTAACCACCAAAAAGCTGGGAGTGAATCTGTGGCTCAAGTAGAAGAGCAAAATAGCATAGAATAGAACTCAGGCCATGAGTTCAAGCCCCAGGACTAGCACAAAAATAAAACACAAACAAAAACAAAACAAAAACTCCTCATTCCCTAAATTTCCTTCCCCTGTGAACCACCAGAGCATATTCACTATGAATTTGATGCTTTAAGTATCCATATAGGTTCAATTGTATACTATTAATAGAGCCTTTTTATGATTAGTTCATTTCATTTAGCATAACATCTTCAAACTTTTTCCATACTATAATTTATGTTAGAATTTCCTTCCTTTTAAAGGCTAAATAATATATTCATATTATTTACACATATGTATGTATGCATGAATGTATGCATGTACATATGTATGTATGTATTTATTTTGCCAGTCTTAGGGTTCGAACTCAGGGCCTGTGTGCAGTCCTTGAGATTCTTTGTTCAAGGATAGCACTCTACCACTTGAGCCACAGTGCCACTTCTGGCTTTTTTGGAGTAGTTTATTGGAGATAAAAGAGTCTCACAGACTTTCCTGCTGGGGCTGGCTTCCAACAGTGATACTCAGATCTCAGCCTTCTGAGTAGCTAGGTGGCATGAGCCACCAGCACCAGGCTGTATGATTTATTTATTTATCTTTATATTTTTATTTTAATTTTATTGTCAAGGTGACATACAGAGGGGTTACAGTTACATAAGTAAGGTAGTGAGTACATTTCTTTTTTTATTGTGAAAATACTGAACAGAGGGGTTACAATTACATAGGTAAGATAATGAGTACATTTCTTATCAAGCATTGTTGCCTCCTCCTTTGTTTCCCCTTCTCATCCCTTCCCATCTCCCCCACCACAACTCCGCCCTCCCCCCTCCCTGCCCCCTCCCCCGCCCCCCCTCCACCAAAGTTGTAAAGTTCATTTTTGACATAAGGACTTGTACATCTCATTGTTGCAATGGGTCCACCTGTATCCCTATTTAAACAATTTGTTTTTTCCCTTCCCCTCCACAAATTATACCAACATACAGTGAAAACAGGGGTTATACTGTGGGGGAGAGACCTACAAAGCAACAAAGAAATCATCTTCTAAATATGTCAGAAACACTGGCAAGAAAGAAAAAAACAGTTGAGTCCTTATCTTGGGGTTCATTTCTCCTAACATCAACGTATCTGACCATTTCTGCTTGTCTCAGACATATACTAGTTATTGCA